GATTTTTGTCTTTTGTGCATGTCGAGCGTAGTGGAGCGAGGCCCAATATGCGTGGGGAATCTCAGGGCAGGCTGCCCTTGGCTAGGATTCTTTGTTCCCTTTTTTCTTTTTTTTCTTTTTTTCTTTTTTTTTCACCCTCACCACTGATCTGCACAATCGACTGTCAACCTAAAAAGAAATTAAAAAAAATAAAATTCGACTCTCAGAAAGTGAAGAATCTAGGTGAGTGGGAACTTAGGACCTCACTGCACTACTCTTGAATCTTGAGAAATCAACTGGTCGGGAGTACCTCTCTCAGCCCCATTTGACTGCAGTATTCATGTGAGGGACGCCGGGCCCGCTTCCCGGATTTAATTGAAAAAAAAAAAAAAAAAAAAAAGAGTTCATCACGCTGCCCTAACTCTTGACGCGGCATCCATTCAAGAGCTGTCAGATTCACTCTCGAAAACGTCGAGAGTGAGTCATCGCTGCACTAACTGTGGAAAAGTGCTCTTGGTCCAGCGCTTCAAAAGGTGTCAGAAACGGCCCATCGGACGAGCTCTTGAAGCTTCCACAGTTCCCCGCCTGCAGGGACGTTTTTTTCAAACGAGGCCAACCGGACCCTTCGTGGGGTTTGCAAATTTGAGAGTTGGCCTCCGGTCTCGGTGGACAAATCATTGCTGCCCTGTCGTGGAGTGTCTTTTCAGATTCTCGAACTTCTGTCCGACAGTCAAGAATGCTCAAGAGAGTCGAGATTCCGGAGTAAGTGCAGGGACGACAGCACTTGATGGCAATCCAGGAGTCCGACAGCGCTAGACGTACTCTTGAAATTTTTCATGTGTCCAGCGTATTGCAGCGAGGCGGCCCTTAGAGTAGGGGCCTCGCTCGGCTACTCTCGACATCCACAAAAGACAAAAATCACGGGAGTGCCTCGCCCAGCCTGAATAGCCACGGCATATATGTAAGGGACTCCGGACCCGGTTTCCAGCAAATATGAATGGTATTGGTTATCAAAAAAAAAAAAAAAAATCATGGCTGTGTATCTTTCCATGTAGTAGGGAAAGATTCACTCTCTTTTTCCACAGTTCGAGAGAGTAGTGAAGCGAGGCACTAGGAGTCGGCTAAGATTCCATATTGTTCTTTTCGGCTCTGTTCAAACGGAATAGTGGGACAGGGTTCCACCGAGCTGGGTTTCGGGACTCATTGTTCCAGGCTACTTCTGGGGACACTCGTTTTCGGTTTTTGCTTTTGCCTTTGCTTTTTTGCTTTTTGATTTTTGTTTGTTTTTTGGTGTGTTGTTGTAGCCTATGAGCTTTGATTTTGTTCACGGCCTACGGACCTTGAACCCTTGACCTCGAGCCTGGATATTGGACTTGGTGATCCTCCAGGGATTTTCGGAGGTTGTAGGCGTCGCGTTTGGTGACTGTACCCTCCAGGGATTTTCGGGGGTTGTAGGCGTTGCATTGACATTTTCTGTGGTGTGCCACTACTAGGATAGTTCTATAAGAGTAATGATTGCGCCGTTGTTTTTCTTTTGGGTCCAACGCCGGTTGGACGCGCTATCACTCCGGAGATGGTGGCGGGTCTGACGACGGAGGTGGGAGAGTCGGAAAGTTGGGATTTGTGGCGGGRCGAAGTTGGTGGRTTTCCCCCTGATGAGGGCGTGTGGCGACGCCCGAAACCGGTCGGGGTGCCTACCCACCGGCATTTGCAATCGACTCTTACTCTGTACCTTGGTGTACTTGTGATGTCTCGGCTCTGACTTTGTCTTCTTGGACTTTGTCTGTTTGCTAAGTTTCACATCTGTTCAATCATAACCACTGAAGGCGTATGTGAACCAGCCTGGACAAGGTCGCCGGGCAAGAGTGAGCATACTTGCTGTTTGCCGTCGTGTTGCTCTATGTTTGATTAGTTACCAGCGAGGTTACAACTACACGAAGACGGAGTTAGGGAATGCTATCTGTGTCGCTTATTGCTGTATGCTTAGGGAGCTATTACCGGAGGTTTTGTCCGGTGAGTGACGTCAACGACTGTTGTTGAGAACCTCTACCCGAATCGTGCAATTGGGAGCAACGATGGCGGGAGGAGGGTATCGTGGACTTGGTCGGGATAAAGATCGTGACCGCTGCCAGGACTATCGTCGGGACTTTGGACCAGAAGATAATCGGGAGAGAGTTAGGGACGGACGAGGCGATCGGCAGGGGGAGTTTGATCGTGGACCATACTACGAGAGGAGCCAAGATTATCGACAGCAACCCAGGAGATCAGCCCCCGTATGCGGCGAACCTGGACATTATCGTAACCAATGTCCAAGGCTCATCGGGGAGGGTAGCTCGAGGACGGGGTTGATTCGTGGACGATCATTGTCCCCCAACCGCCAGCATCTAGTTCAAGGAAAGTGGTCCTTGTCGGAAGACCCGGTGGCGAAGCAGCAATTGGAGGAGCTGGCCAGCTCGATTGTTAGTATGAAGGAGCTGTTTGACAAGGAGCAGGAAAAGAAGATCGAGAAGGCGAGGCGTAAACAAGAGAAAAAGGAGAGAGAGGAACGGGACAAGGAGGAGCGCTTAGCCGCGAAGCGTCGTGAAGAAAAGAAAGAAGAAAAGCTTCGAAGGGAAGAGGCAGATCGTGAGAGATTTCGCAAGGAGATGCGCATGCAGATCTCGATGGACGTAGGCGGTCTCGGTGAGCACCTACAACGCACGATCGATCGAGCGATCACGCACGCGAAGGGGAAAGGCAAAGCGGCGAAGACTCATTCGGACGCCGAGTCGTACGAATCGGAGAGCAGCGATGTGGAGGCTCTGAGTAACCAAGCCGAGAGGTTGGTAATCAGTGAAAAGAGGAAACGCGACCCCGAGAAAGCGGTGGGAGACAGCCCACCGATGGAAACTCCGGCAAAACAATCGGCGAAGCAAGGGGCGTTGAATCCCGTACGACTCACCAAGCATCTGCAGTTGAGCTGCCGCCGCCCACCGATGAAGCGGGCTACCCCTCCCAGGAAGACTCCACAGCGAGGTGTGTGGAGGAACAAGATCCCAGCATCGGTTGGACCGATGGGGAAACTGAGATTCGTTACCGAGAATTTGAAAGCACTGGGTAACATGACGATGGACCAGTTGAAGGAGGTTTGCCGACTGGAGGACGTCCAATTTGAGACCAGGAAGATGGAGACTATCCTCGCTATTGCCGAAAAGCGCACTCTAACAGCTTACGGCTCTGAACATGATGAGGAGGAGGAACAAGGAGCTGAGCAGGAGGATCCAGCCGCCGAAGTAGTTACCAAGTCGGATGCAGAAGATGAAGACGAGTCTTGAAGTGTCAGGCAGCTATGGCGATTATGTCGTGCCGTGATCCAGGTCCGGAGGGAGTTCCCCTCAAATGTATCGTTCGAGAGACTATACCGGCTTGTTGTTATGCTGTTAGCTTTGTCAAATCAGATTCGTTGGCTTAGGAAATGTACTGAGTCTTGGGTCAATCTTTTCGTTCGCTATGGTCTCGATGTCTTCCTAGGAGAGGGGGCAGGGGTATACTTGATTACCTCCCCACTATGTAAGGCGACTTACATCGGCCAAACGAGTCGATCTCTCGTTGTTCGGTGGAGGGAGCACTTGTCTGTGACGGGACGAGGCCTTAGGAAGAACCACCTATACCGTTGGTGGAGAGTTTTTGGAGTAGAATCTTATGTTCAGCTACCTCTTGATCTGTGTGCAACCGAAGACCTGCGGACTCTAGAGCAGCTTTATATACGTAAATGGAGTCCTATACTCAACACTACGGGAAAAGCCAGAAAACGTAGGCATCGGAGTTGCCGCGTGAGGAAGGGTAAGAAGGAGAGAGCGAGGGATAAGGCTACCCACGGTGAGTTGTTGCGTCCAGGGAATACAGTTCCCAAGGTCGTTACTGCGGACAAATCGGGATTGGTGCAAGTGGTGAGAGCGAAGATTCAAGACAAGGATGAATGGTGTGTTGACCTTTTCCGACGGCTAGTACAGCAGGAAGCTAGTGGTACTCGAGCCTTTCGTTTGATCACTCAAGGAGGCAACAACTGGTGTGGCGGTTGGAAGTCTATTAAGTCAGCGTTTGGCAATTTTGTTGTGAAGTTGCATGGGCAGCGGGGGCGACTCTATAACTGTAAACAGCTACTGGAACAAGGCACAAATTTGGAGATTTGTCAATTACGAAGGTGGAAGCCAAAAATTGGACCCGAAAAGAGTTTCCTCGTAACTATTCTGCGGAACCCAGGCGATATGGCTAAGTTACACCAATGTAATTTGAAGGCGCTGGTACGATTGTTGGATGCGGCAAAAGATTTTCAGCGGGCATTGACTACAACCTATTTACGTAGGCATATTGCACGCGCAATTAAGATGGAGTACGGGTGGAGTATTAACTCCAGGATTATAGTCCGACTGAGATATGACGATCGCGTTAAAATTGTTGAGGTTAGGAAGGTGATTAACGATATGATTGAGCGGTTTGACATCCCTACCTGTATCAAGAACTTTGCACGTGGTACTGTTCGCATCGTGTGGGTAAAGAACCCATCGGTAGCTGACATACTACACAACCAGCGCGCGTATGCTCGCGCTGACGTGTCTACCAGTACTTGTGCAGGTTTTCCCTACCCCAGGGTTGGTGGCCACGTGCAGGCTCGGATGCAGGATATTGACGGTGTCCATCCGCTAATCCTGAATGCTAACAATATCTCGAAGGAATCACACCCTAACCGCTGGGATTTGTTACGGAAGGAGATGGAGCAGGGTCTGCATACCTGGGCTAATCGTAGGGGAGAGACCCCGATCATCTCCCAGTCGGAAGTGATGGGATGCATGGTCGCGTCTTCTGATGATGGATGCAAGTATCTTGATGCAGCTGAGGTCAAGAAGTTGGGACGTGAGATGTCGGGCTTGGTCCTGACTTCATTGGACCGAAACCCCGACGAAACACTGGTGCTATGCCCTAAGCTGTATTATGAAGCGATGATGGACTTGTTCGTTTGTTGCCCGGGTTACATAGTCGAATGTAGAGACGAGAAGGCTATCCATGAGGATATGATGGTTGACTTACGCGCGTAGGGGCTTTTGCGCTTCACAAGGTGGGACAAAATGGGAAAGATAGGTGAGGCCTATGCGTTACCTAAGCATAAGGACCTCTGTCGTTACAGCCCCATTTGCCCCACCTACTCGGAACCAACGATTAAGACTTGTAAGAGTTCTGCTAAAGCATTAAATCATTTGCTTTTCTCGCTCCCAGAAAGCTGGCACTTTAACTTGAAGTCGGTATCATCTCTGGTACTGAAATTGGAGCGAGTCAACAGGATAGTCGATAAACAATCTGTGGGAAGTCCGGAAGTCGCTGGCATGTCTTATGATATCAAAGACATGTTCAATAAGCTTCCACATGACGAGATCATAGCAGCCGTGAATTGGGTTATTGACTTTCACCAGAGCAAGGGGCATACTGCGGTGCGTGTTAACACAAGAGGGAAGGGAAGCAGTTTTGGTAGGACTACGGGGGATGACCATTGGAGGGAAATTGACTTGGAACTTCTTCGTAGCTTCGTGTCATTCGAACTTAGACACACATATACACGAGCGACGGGTGTGGTGCCGAGGCAGGTCGGTATCCCTATGGGAAAAAGTACCAGCCCGCCTCTCGCATGTATTATGTGTGCCTTCGCTGAGTTTCGTTTCTTAAACTCCATTGGAAAGTTGCGACGGCATGTGTTTGGCCTGAGACTTATGGACGATGTTAGCCTGCTCATTTGCAAACCAAGAGGAGGACAGGAGGTGGTTGACCAAATTAGAACTAAGTTTGAGGAATGCTATCCGGAGAATCTTACCTTAGTCCGGACAGACGATGGGTCAGGGATGTGGGACTTCTTGGGTACTAAGATGCAGGTTAATTGTTTGCCACCTTACGTTAGTTGCTACCAAGTCCTGAAGAATGAGCATACGATCTGGGATCGTGAGCTGCTGGAGTTCAAAAATGGACAGACGTATCAATCCTGGGGAAGCAGGAAACAGAAAAGTGTTGTAATCTGCAGCTACCTGCACCGGATTGATAGGAATACAAACGCACGGGCTGAAATTCCGATGCGAGTTCTGAATTTGAAACGGGAACTCCGGATTAAGAGCTTCCCCACACAATTCCTGCAAAGAATTCTGCGAAGCTTTGGGGTGGGTCGTGATCCAATCTGGACGACCCCCTATAATTGGTTGTATCAGTAGGTCGTCATTCTTCGCATGTTTGTACCGGTTGACGACCATCTTCTCATGGCTGCGTGAATATTTTGGGATAGAATGGACATGGAGACGGGGCCGTTTTCGTCACCTCGTTAATTAGTCGGCCTTGATTCGATTTGATTTGGCTTTGATTTTTTTTATTTATTTTTTTTGAAGATAACAGAACCTCTCGGCTCTGGCTCCTGCCATTCTGGGGATCAACAGTCCGGTTCCTATTCCCCCGGCAAGTCAGATATGAATACAGAGAAAACACGCTCACGCTCCTCCTCATTATGGCTGAGAGGCCCGAGTGGACGGCATTGATTACTTCCATAGGGAAGGATGTACCACCCCTCACCCCTGCCTAAGTTAGCCTATATCTACTACCCTCTGTTCCTCTGAGCTGCCTAGGTCGTAGCTGTTGTTGCTAGTTCTGTTTGGATAAAACTAAACGCTAGAGCTGGTGTCGGGGGCTGGGATCTAAGAGTTTGCTTAAACAATTATTTCTTTTTTTTCTTTTCTTTTTTTTTTCCTTTTTTTTTTTAACACACGCGCTCCATCTATTGGTGGGGAGCAGCACCTGCTGGAAACCGGGTCGAGCGTCCCATAGATACAACCATATTCTCTCAAATTGGCACGAGCTGGGAACCGGGGCCAGCGTTCCTTGAGTACGTTCAGAAAAACCATCAGAAAATTTCATGACAATGAAACGAAGGGTATACTGAGGCTACTTCAGAGCTTTTTTGTAAGGAACATTCAAAGATAAACAAAAACCAGAAGAAAACTCGGGAATCCACCAACAGTCCTCCTCACCCCACTCCGACAAGACTTACTGCAGCAAAGCCACCATCTCTACTGTTGCTATGCCCTATTTCTGTCCTACCAGCTAGCCCCTTCACTAGCAGGACGCATGATACCTTTCTCTCTCGATCCCTTACCTTCCCGTTACTCAGAAAAGGTACGGGAATAGACTGCAAAAGTCCTAAAAAAGCCCCCAATCCCGCAAAATCCCTAACAGATCCTTCCAAGGATCTCCAACACTGTCGTATTCCCTTCCGAGCTTCCAGGCCTCACACCCCCCATCCTGCTGGGTTACAGGGCAACACAACTCACCCCAGCTCCGGCCTGCGTCGTCTCAGCAGCAACCCTTGGTTGTCCCGTGGGATGCCCCCCCAAAGCACCCCCAGATCTCTCTACCAGGCCTCATGCCCCTGCATCAACAGGTTACAGGGCAACACCCCAGCACCGGCCAGCGTCGTTTTGGCGTCCAACAGCCTTAGGTCAACGAGTATTACATCCTTGAAACTACCTAGAAGAGATTGCCAGGAAACCCCAGGATCCAGAAGACTTTTTAAGGACAGAACAGACTACCCCCTTTTTTTTAGAATTGAATTTAACTACGTAAAAATTCGTAATTGAAAACATAAAAAAGGCCTGGCGGGTCCTAGAAATGCTCAGAAACCCTTGGAATCCCTAACGCTCCTTCCAAGGCCTTTCAACACTGTCCTACTCCCTGCCGAGCTCTTCCAGGTCTCACACCCCACGTCCTGCTAGGTTACAGGGTGACACAACTCACCCCAGCTCCGACCAGCGTCGTCCCAGCAACAACCCTTAGTTGTTCCGTAGGATGCCCACCCCTAAGCATCCCCAGATCTCTCTACCAGGCCTCATGCTCCTGCATCGCAGGTCACAAGGTAACACCCCAGCTCCGGCCAGCGTCGTTCCGGCATCGAGCAGCCACAGGTCCCTGAGTATAACAGCATCAAAAACCACCTGAGAAAAGTTGCTAGGGATCCCGAGAGTCCAAAAACATTCTTAAGACCCCCGAACAACCATCTGTAAAAAGAAAAAAAGAAGGGGGGGGAAGTCAAAACGAAATACCAACCATCCTAAAGTCCCCCCCTCAACAAAGGACCCGTCGGTCTCAACTTTCGGTCCTCGAACCAGAACACACTTGGTCTCATACCCCCTTCTGCATGGGTAACAGGGCACCGCAACCTTCCCCAGTACCGACCAACCTAGTTCTGTCGGATAGGAAGTGCCTTCCTCCCTCGGCAATTCCTATAGCGACAAACCCCTGCACAGGTTACAGGGTCAGAACCCCGGCACCACTTGTGT